GAGGCCGTCCTCAGCACCTCTACAAAAACTCCCTTTTGTCTTCCCATCCCCCTCCCTTTCTACTTGCACCACGGAGCCTGCATTTCATTTCTCTGGCTGTTTTGGAGAAAGGGCGTGACCCAGCTCTGCACCTGGCTGTTGCAAACCCCATAAAATTCAGGGTATGACTCTTCCATGGACCATAACCTCCTCCCTTCTCTAATCCAGCTCAGGCAGGACTGAGTTGGAGGATTCGAGAGCTGCCAGGAGAGGAGAGAGAGGGGGGGGAGGGTTGCTTCAGGTTGTTAGTAGTTTCAAAAGAAAGCCACAGGCAAGGCTTGAGGCTATTTTTCACCCTCATTCCTAAGATTTAACCCGGTAACTTTGGGAGGTGGTCTAAGACCTTCCAAGAACCACAGAGGGACAGAAACCCACAAGGGACAAGCGAGGGTGAGAATAGCATCAGAGTCCTCTAGGGAAGTCAGGGGCTGTGTTCCTCCTACCCAAACCCCAGTCCTGGCTTAGAAAGGAGGAACTTGGGGGCCTAAAGTCAGAGCCGCAGAAAGGACTTCAGAGAAATCTTCACAGGCCACGACCCAGTCTCTCCCTCTTGATAGCATGGCTTGTGTGGGTGAGGCCTGATGGGAGGGGGTGGGAGAGGGTTGAAAATAGAGGCACAGAGAGATCCAGGACCACATAGCCAGCACAGGGATGAAGCAGCCCCTCTCCTGGTGCCTGCGCTTCCGTTTGTTCTGTGGAGCCTGATGGAGGGGGTGTTTGAGGAACAGGCTTTGAACGGCCTTAAGGACGAGCAGTCCAAGGTGACAAGGAGCGCTCCCAGCCCTCTCCTACCTCCCCACAGTGGGGCTTTCCCAGTGCCTCAGGCAGAAAGTGCCCATTTGATCCTCTGTCCACAACCCCCACCCCAACACTTGATCAGCTTTGCTTCTCTTTGGCCCTATGAGTCGGACTGGACAAGGTTTAGGATGAATCATGGTTCTGGGTGTGTGTGGAAGAAGAAAAAGGGGTAGAGATGGGAAGGCTCACTTACTGAATCCTATGTGCCAGACCCTTGGGTAGACACCTCGCCTATGCAATCTTATGTAAGGCTCACACCAGCAGTTTCAGTAGATAGCATGGCTGCCATTTCACGGAGTCTTCACGAGGTCCAGCGGTGACTTGCCCAGGGTCGCGTGGATGGAAGACTGTGGACGGGAGCCTGCGGTTGCAGCTGTGTCTGGCTGCACATGTCTGATGCTTTGCCATCGTCAGCAGGCTGACCCAGTGTGTGCTGGGTGCTGCTGGCTCAGTGCACGAAGACTGGGACGTCAGTGAGAGCTTCAGGCCCGAGGCAACCTCTGGGCAGGGTGTTGGGAGAGCACCCAGTTTTGCTGATGGACCTTTAACAAGCCAATCAAAGTATTCCTAGAGGCACCAGTCTAATACCCCAGAGATTCTGGGGCGTCGGGCGGCCCAACCATGACCTCTGCCACCTGCTC